CATAAATGTAATGGTTTTTTTTAGGTTCTCGTTATACGACTTATATCTACGTGAAATTTAGAGCTATGTAATATATTATTATAATATAGTCTCGCACTGCAACGCATCACAAACATCCCACCTGTTGTTGTTGTGTATTTGAATATTATAATATTATTGTTGCGTCCCGCGGGATTTCTCCTTTACATTATAATTTTAAACAGATGGAAATTCTTAGGGTTGCTGCATCATACATAATACACAGTGTGTATTGCACACATTGCAATAAATATAAACCGCCATTATAAAGTATTTATGTTTTAGTATATATACCTACATATCTGCAGAATGCACGCGATTCATCTTACGCATTTGTTCTATGTTATTACGGAATTTCACAACGTCTAATTATTATTTTCGATAACTTAATTAAAAATAATAATCTTTTGACTCACTGCAAGTATAGATATGTATGTATCATATGCCAATCTATAGTCTTGTATCATCGTAACTCTATGCAATGTGTTATTGAAACTATTATGAGTAATTGGTAAAATAAAGTATTATTTTATTTTAATATATTTTAAATTGTATTTGGTACAATAACTGTCTTGTCAAATTTAACGTTTCAGTCGTCTCATATTCTCACATTTGGTATTTATCTGACATTAATAGGTATACTGTACCTATTTGTGTAAATAGACAACGTTTTATATAGTTATATGTCAAGTAACAATTTATATATCACTTTTTTACATTCACGGCTGTATTATAATATAGACAAATCATTATTACCACATGCAAACTACATATATGAGTTACCTCAAATATATACCTATACTATTAATGCAGGTGTCGGAATCTAATAATGTATATTGTGTTTCATAAAACTTAGAACTATTGAGTTTTACCGCGCTGGAAATTTCTTAAATTACGTCATAAACATAAGTTTATGCTGATATAGTCTATAAATTAATATGATAAAGCCTCGCGTTTTGCTTAGGCTGCAGCAGGTGGAAACAATTTTTTCAAAAATGCCTATACAAAATAATGTATTTATAATATCTATTCTATATCTATTATATACAACTTATAATTATCAGCTAATAAAAATGTATTTTTTAAAGTTAAATTATAATTATATTATAGGTGAAATGTTTACAAGACTATTAACGCAATCGCATATACTCACACAGCTTATTCGATTATACGAGTAAATAAAAATGGTCTCGGTACTCTATCCACTACTACAGCGAGTTTATCTTGCAGCACGTAACTATATTCGCCTCCCTCCGATGGAACGTACCGTCGTCCCTCATTAAATTATATATATACCTATCGGAGATTGCGGCAAAGCTCGATCGGGCGCTTCGCATTAATGATATTGCTAATAGTAAAAAAAAAATGCATCTGCATATTATAAAAGCACAAATAATAAATACACGACGGTAATAGATGGATACGTCAGAAATAAATAATCACGCGGACAAACCAGTGCATCTCGATCGTTTTCATTTTTAGGACGAAAGATTTTATCTGCTGCATGGTTGTGCGCGCAAAACATTCGTGTGGGATTGTTTTATTATCATTATTTTTATTTTTTTTTTTTTGCCTGCACTTTTTCAGAACGAATTGGTTCGATGTGCAAATCGGTTTCGAGTCGCGTTACCCGACAACTTAATTTGCACACTGCACCGTATGTCGGCAATACTCGCACGTCTAAAAAACAAAACCGTCCTTTTTATGTTATGTTCAGTTCGCGGGCATAGCACACGCCCAAAACCCGCGCGCAAGGGTCAGAATCGATCGGTTGCTACACATGACGTGTACAATAGACCGCGCGACCAACACGACCGATTGCGCGCGGCGCATAAGCGTATAGTCGCGAAACACGTTTTTCGACGACTGACTTTAGACTGGCGCGCGGTCATCGTCGCGCTTAGGCACCTGTCGCCATACTACGTCGGACATTGCGGGTAACCGTTTTCGACGGCGACGTTGCGTTTCGATCGCGTGCAGCGTTTGCACACGTCGTCGATATCGCGTTACACGGAATTCGGAAGCGATAAAATTGTTTGCGCGTGCCGTGCGGCGCGAATCGCGGAAATCTTCTGCCGCTAAGCGCGAAGCGCGCGTCCGCGGTGGCCAGCAGAGCGATGATGTGTTGTCGACACACAGCGTCGCGCGCCGTTTACATCGCGCGTATACATTCATCAGCACGCGGTAGTCCGCTCGTTTGTGCATTTGGCGACCGTGCGCTTTTTATCGCTTTTTAGTCGAGTCGTAAACACACGATTGTTATTTATACGCAATGACAGTATTCGCGTTTATATATTATATAATTACTATGAGTCCTCGGTCAGTAAATTTCGGTCGGACACATGACACAACTGTGTTACACGTAAACCGACGCGTGAAACTTAAAGTTTCATCTACAGGTGTCAGGTGTACGTTTTTCTTGTGCACGAGAAAAAAACCGCGCGGAAGCCGGAAAGTATAGTGTTCACAAATGGCCATATAGTATCAGCTGTTTACGGATAGACAGTATGACTGGCATAATAATATGGTTCTGGGTCAAAATGTCTCCACTAAAATATCTCTAATCAAAAATATCTCCAGCGCAAAATACCTCCTGTTCAAAATATCTCTCATGAAAATATCTCTCATGAAAACATTTCGACATTTATTCTATTTTATAAGGGATTAATATTTATGTTTTTCACAACAATAATTATTAGAAGTAGGTAAAAAATAAACTATTAGATATTCATAATAATACTGATGTCTAAAGTGATTACTGAAATAAGTATACATTTTCTACTAATAATGTTTAGAAAATAATCCCATAGATAATAATAACTATTTTTATAATCACAACATTACACTGTCACAATGACCAATTATTTATACTATCTGATAAATTTTTCACGAGTACGATTACAAATCATGATAAACGACTTTATCGACGTAATGACTGTATCGATTCGACATAGTGAGCCAGTTTAGACACACAACAATAGTATCGACTATGATAGTTCTAATTTTACTAAAGTTCACACAACGGATTTAGATTAAAAAATGTCTCTACAATTTATTGTGAGTCAAAAAGGAAACAACTTATTATTCATTTATGAAATATTTAAGGGGAATTGCCCACTATCTCAAATTTTAACTTATATTTTAATTGGATTTTATATTTGTTTATTTAATTTTTGTAATAATAACACATTATTTTAAAAATTACATATTATGATTACGATAACAAATTTTTAAATATCACTAAATATTTTGATAGGAGATATTTCCATTAAAGATATATTTTACTGGAGATATTTTGACCGATCACCGCATAATATCTACAATATGTTTATGTATACTTATTCACAGTTAAAGTGTATAGCATAATAACTCGTTACATTTGCGAGGTACGTATTGCACGTGATAACAGTTAAAAGTCGCAAGTACGTAACTTATTTTTAATCTTTAAGGAATTATGGATGCACTGTGTAATTTGATCTGAACGTATCTATAACAGACTTCGGTATTTCACATTCAAGTTTTAGTTGAACTTGTAAAAACTCTTTTTTTTTTCAAACACTCGTAATACGAAAGTCAATTTTTTCGATCGGTGCCTGAGACTTGGGGACGGATTAACTCGGCCCCGGTTTCAATGAAGTTCTTATATTTTGAATTGTGCGTGTTTCGATTTATAAGTTAGAATAAGTATAGCGCGTGCGACAAACTGGAGCCCAATGCGGGGTATTTGGTGCTGTACAATGCGACAAAAATCTCAATCTATATAAAACAACAGCTTATTTACGTAGTTCGCGAGTGCGTGTGGGTATATAATAATATTATTATACAAGAAGTGCTGTGTGGTAGCTAAACTAGTCTTAATCACCTTCAGCTGACGTCACGTGTCGTTCGAGGATTCCAAAGAATTACCGCGCAACGTGTATGTATGGTTAGCCCAAAGTAGAATTATACGAATTGTGACTAGACACTTTACATAAATCCATAAACGTATAGAAAATCAATTATATTGCAGGTTTCTCGATTGGACGGCAATTTCATACACCACTACACCCGAAATGTAAAAACCACAATTTATTTGTAGGTACCTACCTATAGGTATTTAGTATTTATGTATATTATTATATTATTCGTTGGTTTGTGTATAGTATTGTATGATGTAGAAAGTCTTAAAAGATCCGAGGAAAATCTCGTTAAAATAATCACACGTAACGTACATCGAGATGAATTTCAGCTTAATAAAAAAATAATTAAAAATGTAAACAACGACATAGCTGGTACCTATTCGTTTACAAAAATCTAAGTACGTTTTCCTCTTGTTATACTTTAAGTTGATCTATTACTGCGCGTATTGCCGACCGATGACTTGCTCAATTATATTTAATAAGACATTAAACGTATAACACAAGTGTGACGTGATCTAAATATTGTTATGACTTATATATTCACGTAGATTGGTATTTTACGACGTGCACAGTGGGAGCATTACAAATAATGATATACAGGTAATAATATGATAATGATATGATGTCGTATATAATTTTTTATTTGCGCGAAAACGGCGATAATCGCGCTATCGGGGTGGTGCTGTTTTCCTACATAATAATATTATATTATATATATATTTAATTATGCGGTAGGAGGCCGTCGTCGGCGGAGACCGCGCATTATCTCATCATTTATATATCATTATTATTATTATAATACCGCGGTCGCGGTATACGCGCCGGCGGCGGTAGTCGGGTAGGCAGGCACAGTAGACCGTCCTGCACGGACACGGCCCGCAACGAGCTGGAGCGAGCGAGCGAACGAGCGAACGAGTGAGAGAGAGTGAAAAATCGGTCGCCACCGCAGCCCGTCGATGACTACCGGAGCGACGCGCGCGCGCCTCGGACCGCCGGCCCCGCACGTCCACCCATTGGCCGGGCTGGCGTTCGGTGGGTGGAGCCCCGGTGGCCGCGAGGCGCGCACGACCCGGTCTGTTTACCCGCTGCGTCAGTCACGCCGTGGAGCCACTCGGCGTTCAACAACCCGCTGCGAATACCCCGACCGACCGGCCGATCAAGCGACCGACCGTGGACGCGCGCGGCCGCTCTCGAGTGAAATAATACACATGTTACTATAATAACGACGACCACAGTGTGCGATTTTTTTTTTTAGATTTTAATTTCTGTTGATTTTTATTCGTTTCAAATTTTGCTGGTCGTACGTACGCGCACCCGAATTTTCGCGAGTTATGCCGAAAGTGCCGCTCCGACCGACGTTGTAAACGATAAGATAATCCGTTGTCGCCGCCGCGTCGACATGCGATCCGTCCGTGCACCGACTATACGATATCATTAGGCGTATCATATCATCGCATATACCTATAGAAACGCCGTAACTCGCGACTTTCGCGCCAAAAGACACCGCGAAATCGGTACCATCGACGTATCACCATATACTTTTTTTTTTATTATTATCGTTAAATATACCGCGCGAGAGGCGTTTTACCATCACGATAATATTATAATATATACTCGATATAACATCCTAGGGTGTGACGCGTAAATGACTACCGCGTTATGTTAAACCCGTTTATGGACAACGCGCCTCTGATCAACGGCATGGGCGTCAAGGTCGAGGAAGACTATATGGCCGCTTCCCAGGACCACTATCATCAGATGCACTACGGGCAACAGCAGGCACCGCCGCCTCCGCCGCCGCCACCCCCTCCACCGCCGCCACACCATCCGGGCTACCCGGGGCCCAGGGACTTTTTGCACATCCGCCGGGACGTGGCCGACTACCACCACCACGGCCATCACCACCATCACCACCATCACCAGCACGGTGGAGACCATCACATGAGCGGCCTGTACCCGGCGGCCGTGCACCACGACCTGCAGCTGCACCACGGACAGGCGTACCCGCCGCCGCCGTCGCACCAGCCGCAGCCGCCGCTACAGCCGTCCGCGTCCGTGCACCGACACAACGATTATGGTGGCCAAGACCCGTACGGCGGTGGTGCCGGTCACCCTGGCGGCGCGTTTTACCGGTACATGCGACACGGCCCGGTGCCGGCCGCCGCCGCGCTCAAGGACATGTCCTGCCTGTGGATCGACAAGCCCGGGCCGCCGATGCGCACGTGCGGCAAGATGTTCGGTTCCATGCAGGACATCGTGTCGCACATAACGGTCGAGCATGTCGGCGGGCCCGAATGCACGACGCACGCGTGCTTTTGGCACGGGTGCGAGCGCAAGGGCCGGCCGTTCAAGGCCAAGTACAAGCTGGTCAACCACATCAGGGTGCACACCGGTGAAAAACCGTTCCCGTGCCCGTTCCAGGGATGTGGCAAGGTGTTCGCCCGGTCAGAGAATCTCAAAATACACAAACGCACTCACACAGGTACGGCGCAAATCACTCGTAATCGTCTTAGTATTTCACGCAATTTTTTTTTTTTTTCGTTTATGTGCCGGCAATTGCCATCCACGTCCCATGCTTTTAATCGTGAATATGATAACAAATTTGTTAGTTTATCAACTATATAATTTATCATTGTCATATAAAACAGTGTCACTGTCAGTATACCTATGATTCTTAGATCATTATTCCCTCGATCCTTTTCCCACGCTTCGCCCACCCCTCAAACTATACGAGCGCGCGCATTAAATCCGCCATAGACTCATAAACCATATCATGTCTTTGTCTCGTTTTTATAGTATAGAAAAATGATATATTTTATCACAAAAATTATCTTATATCGTTAATTATCACTTGCAAGTGTAAAACTAAAAAAAAAACTAGTCCATTTCGTATTCTGTTTCGCTAAACATAGCCATTTGATATCTTAAAATTTATAAATAGATAAGAATAGGTGTACCTAAGATATTGCCGTTCTGCATGATTAAATTATCGCGCAATATAGGAAAAAAATTAAAGAAATCTTAATTTATATTTTGGGTAAAAATAAATTCGTATTACTTAATGGTAGCATTACTAATTTAAATATAATATCAAATCTACGCAATAATATTTAGAATTATCAGCTCGAATCAACGAGAACAAATATTTTGTATAACAATAAAATGAACCAATTATATTTATAACCAAATTCTGTGTAATATCATATAATAATATAAAAATATTCAATGACAATTATAACCAAATTAAAAATAGTTATTATTATAAAATAATTGTGATTTTTACTTATATATTATTGTTATATAAGCATCCGTAATATTTTTAATTTGTATAATACTATTATTGATTTCGATTTGAAAAAGCGAAAAATGATCGTTAGATGAAAAAACAATTCTAATATCTTTATTAAATTTTTTGGATGACGATCCGTCTCCGTTATTTTACTTATATTTCATTAAAATTAGGCATAATTGCTAAAATGTAAAATTTAAAAACCTTAATAATTAGTCCCGTGAGGAATAACATAATTCCTCTTTTAACCCGTCCCTGCGTTTTATGTGCAATGTTTTATTTAATATAAATTATTAATAGTACCTGATTAGCGACTAACCTATGCAAGAATATGAATATTACGAATTTAAAATTACCGATTATCATTTATATTGTATAATTAAATTGTCTATATTTATGAATTTAAAATCGTATTTACCAGTTAACAATAAAAATAAGTTGAAACTTTAGGTAATAAAGTATTAAATCAATTTTGAATTTTTAAAATATAACATTAACATTGTACATTTAATGGTACTCACTAGTTATATCTTATAATCAATTTGGTTTTCTGGTTTTTTTTTCTTTCTGTATAAATTATTGCCATTTTCTAAAATATCCGAAAAAGACATGTATATGTTATGAAACCATTATGAAACAAAGTAATAACACGACAATATTTCATAAACGCCTCTCCGAATAATAATAAGAAAAAATACAAACGAAATCCAATGTTCATTTTTTATTGTCTAATGCACATATACGGGTAAATAAAATATAATAAACGACTGGTTAGGGTGGTTTCATCTCAAGCACCTCTATTGTGAACCACCCTTTTTCTTTTTTCGGACGGTGTCGGCGACGATCCGAGACTACGACTATTCATTTTCACTATCTTTTTCTGGCGGTACGCGTTCATTATTATTTTATACATATAAATAATTGTTATTTTATGTTATTTGAATGGACATTTTTGTAATTCCAACAAGTGCCAACCGTTCATCGATCGATAATTTCTTGTCAATCATAGCTTGTCCCATAAACTACTTCACTGCCCATCATTCAGCCGATCCCTCGAGCTAAATGAATTGCCACTGCTGCAGAGATTCGGATAACCGCTTGCATAATATTATAATATTAACAAACTTGTTTATGCACAAAGACAAAAAATACATTCAAATAAACCACCTTTATTATTATTTTTTATTATTTATTAGAATGTATAAGCTTACATATAGGTATACATATTATAACAATGCACTCGGATAGGTAGGTTTGTTAAGAACCAGCTATAAATATGCATAGTTTCAAAATGGCGCGTACGATTTTAGTATGATTTCAGATCTGGTTGAGAAACGTATTATTAATCGATTTATTTATAGCTGCGGTTTCACGTCTATTCGCGTATGAAAGTTGTACGTGTCGTACTTCAGTGTTGTTATAATATGCTACCGAAAGATCATAGGTCGTGTTCAGAGCGCGTTCGTATGTTCCTACATGTAGAGTCTGGACCGTGATGCCTCCCGGGCCCGTATTTGACTCGAATAAGTGCTAAAATGTAAACGTCACTACTGCACGATGTTTTTCCCCCGAGTCTTTAGTTAATCTATTTCGATAAACGTACTATTTTTATACTTAACGTCGTACTTCCTTATTGTACTATCATCAAAACTTAGAATATTTCTTTGATTATAATTTTTTATTTCACGAATTTATATACTATCATGATTTAATATCATAAAAAGTATACGCATAAATTAGGTATTTATATTTTTTATGTACATTAGAATATCGTTTCGACAATGAATTTAAAAAACATATAATATTAAAACATAATTCACTGCTGTCAAAAATATATTTACATATTAGGCACAGTTTTTATTAATAACAAAAAATGTATGCACTATTTTATAGTAAACGTAAAATTATTTTTTAGTTTTTTACTTCCATTTACTCTCTTTATTTAATAAATATTAAATTGGGTGGTACGCTACTTATATTATACCAACATTCAACATTCTTTGTTACATCAATTAATTTATATTAAAACATTTTAAAAATAAGGCATTTAGTAATATCTAAATGTTAAAAAATAATCAATAACCCGTTTCAATACGTTATGTCGAAAACTTCGAATTTTGCAAATAGTTATTTTAAAAAACCCTGAATTTAACTTGACTTTATGAAAGTCGTATATGTATTTTCTCATCATAAAATATTATTTACTTACAACGACAGTAGGCATTATGCCAAAAAATATTTTATTAATTCACTGCAATAAGGAATACATATATAATTAAAAAAAGCATCAGCATTACTAAATCTCAATATATATATTAATTATTTTTGTGTTTTCTGTTTCCAAGACAAAATTTAATGAGTATATGATATTTGTACTACAAAAAGGCTATTCTTTCTCCATAAAGATATCAATACTAAAATGTATATTTCAATCTTAATAATATCATAGTGTGCTAAACTTAATTTTGTTTTAATGAAAATATTTAAATGAGTTACGTATATTATTGTGTTAAAAATAAGAGTTGTGATGTTTTTATCATGTATTTCCATAAAATGTATTATTAATAATAGTAATATCACACATGTATATTCAAAAATAAAATGTATGTATAGAATCATCATTCATCAATTGTCATAAAAAAATATAAAATAAGAATAATAATCTCACATCATAAACGATAGAAATGCTGCCATAAAATAAACACGGGGGCATTATATTAGTATTTGCAACATTGTATGTATCATATTACTTGTAATGAAGTATAATATAAGCTTAGTAGCTGACCTGTAAATCTCATCTCAAACACATTAAAATGATATAATTGAATTTAAATTCAGAGGTTTAGATGACTGGATGAAATTACAATATTATGATTTTGATTTCGGGTGGCAATAAATATTTCGGTAGGATTCGCGTCTTCAGAGTATTATTCATACATTTATATATATTTACATAGGCGTGTTTAATTGTTGTTATTACGTGCACACAGATAGGTAATATATAAAGCTGGCGAGGGGGTGTCGAGGAGGGATGTCATTATTTTAATATTTTATCGAACGAGGACATCTGGAACAGGTTTTTTTTTTAGGTTGTTCTATAAACAAAATAAATTACACGTTCGCGCATTATGAATGGTACGGAAAAAAAGAGATGGAAAAAAACTGGTTATCGCCAAGCATAAATTTCAAAAACCGTTCTCCTACTCCGAGATTGGTAGAAAAATATTATAATGGCCCGATATTATAATAACCCGTACTGTGTAGCTATAAATTTCGTGTTTTTATGTGCCTCGGAAAGTTTCCAGTCCGTTTTAACACATACAACCGCAACACTTAATATATATATATAGTAATACATTCAATCATTATATTATATTGTATAGGTATCTGTGTGTGTATGATGATAATAATAATCATACTAAATGATGATCTCCTCCGATCAAGACGTCCACACGTAGGCCAACGTAGTTTTTAGCTGTCATTCATATTAATCAAATTAATAAATTCATATTATAGTGTGCAAACTTAGCTAATTAATAGAAAATGTATTAATATCGAGTTTGATAACGATTCTAAAAATGTATAGAAACCAGAAAAAGTACGATATAGACATCACATCATACGTAATAGCGTCGTTATGGTGATGTTAGAATAAAAAATTAAAAAATAAATAAAATAAAAACATAATATACGCACACGTGTTTGATACAAGTATAGCTTGTTTATATAAGTATAAATATAAGTACTGAAAGATTTTTGTTTTTAAATAATTTACCGTATAAGATTTTATCAAAATTCAAGTTCTATACATCGCGGAGTGTATAATATTCACGAACAAATACGAATAATAATACGCACGTAGGCATTTATCCGTTAAACGTTGAAAATGTTTTTACATTTTAAATGTCCGATAAAGTCGTATGATATATGTGCATAGGCGGTATATATAAATATAATATGGTGTGTACCTATACGAGATTTACACGCATGTATACGTAAATATGATTATTTTTTGTAGTGCGTTAGAAATTTATTTATTTGACATTTTTGTGGTAGTAAAAAAAAAACATTTTATATCGTTATTATTTTTTAATATATACATTATTATATTATATTAATATAGTCGCTGTACTTGTACACGAGTATTTCATACATAATTTTTTTTCTCTTTCGGTAAATATTTTAATTTTATA